TCTCTTCCGGTTCCACTCGATTGCAAATATTTGTTGCTATAAACGAGCCAGAATGTTAACAACCGGAAAAGATTCGAACGGGAAAAATAGATCGCGTATATATATATTCATCGGTGCAGAGGCGGAAATAAATAACGGAATCGGAGAAAAGGAAGAAAGCAACATAAATAAATAGATAGTAAGCAGGAAAGTCATTAACTATTGTATGGCAATGGAGTCTGAAATGACGATGTACATTGTACAACTACAAACAGGATAACAGCAACAAAGTTAGAAAAAATATGCACATTCATCTAATGGAGTGAGCGCCACCGACCAAGGCGCTATGTTGGCAATTACGGTAATTGAGAGAACATAATTAATAAAATGAGGTTCGAGTTTTATGTGCTCTACTTATTCTACAAACTGCGGCTCGTGTCCTACAGGAGCGACTTGAATATAACGGACAGGTGGACCTTTTTTGTTGTTGTCATATTTTCTTATGATTTCAAGTTGTAAATTGGCATTTTCAAGCAATCGGTTAGTTTTCATCATGCAATCCCAATGGATCCCATTCAATGAAAAAAGCTAAATTTTTGTGTTAGATTAAATAATTTGCTCTAAATGACCCGATTTTTATTTTGTTCTTTTCTTTTAATCATTATTAGGAATGTGTGTTTGAGTGCTGGGAAAATTGCTCTTGACTCATTCAAGTGGGGGAGCCGCTGTCGAAATTCGATTGTGCTTGAAAACTAGCAAATCAACATAAAAGGGGTAACCATATACACACAAATGCAAATCTTTGTGCTCAACTCATCATCAGTTCAATAGACGGATTTGAATGCGTTCTGTCAATTAAATTACTCACCGGCACTGAACTCGGTTTGTCCAACACAATAAGGTCGTTGTCAATATAGATTATTTTGATTGGATGATCTAAAACGGGCGTCTCATGCCTGATTTTGGTATTTGTTCAGTTTGTTTTAGATTGATTTGTACATTTGTTTTTTATTTTGGTGGTTGATTTCAGAATTGGTATGTATTCAAAGTTCGTTCCGTATGTGTTGTGTACGTTCGATGTCACAGTTCAATAAACACATACCACAAGATTAAAGAAAAAAAAAAACAAAGAAAAAGGGACAGTCGTCGATCCCGAAAATAGAAGAACAAACGATAGAATGATACAACTTATCGAATTAAGATGTTAACATACTAACATACAACATTTGAAAACATTTTTTTGCTCATTTCGAATGTAAAGCCCTAATGACTGAACATAAATATTACGCTACGGAATGGAAAATTCATTGAAATCACGTTTACATCAATGTAAAACATGAAAACCTCTTCAACAATCAATTACTATATTGGAAAATGACGGGCAATGTGCGCCCATTTCGTTCATACGTGTGTTTGTGATACGTTTAGATTAGGGGAGGCAGGTTTGTTAAGCCTCATTTTTTTTAAATCAATTAAATTTATACATTCGGGATGGTTAGATAAACCGTGAATTCATTTTAATGGCTTCTTTCATTCGGCGGTCTTTTAGGAGGAAAATACTTGAATTCAAGTCGATCAGCAATTTATTTTATAAAAAACATTCTAATGGGTAACATGCGCTGAATCCTTCAAGCATACAGAATCCTCTTTTGAGCGAGCGAAAATAGATCTCTTTCAATTATAATGAACCAGAAGTGAATGTGAGCCATTTTCTGGAAATTTTGCACGATTGAAAATTTAAAAGCGACTCATTCATGCAGAAACTTCTTGAAAATTTGATTTATTTCCAATTCCGAGAGCGGGATAGACCGAACTGTCAATTATAAGATTCATCAAATCAATCGAATCGGTCAATTTTTAGCAAATTGTTCCATTCAAAGCGAAACGAATTGAATTTCCGGAATTTCATTCAATACCCAATTGAAGCAAGCATTACGAAAATACGTCTTCATTCACTGGATGAAAACAGGCAGATGCTGCCATAAAGCAAATAATGGGTATTTTGTTGTTATTAAAATTGCAATTTGTATTTGAAGATGGAGCCGAGTGAAGTGACCGAGAATCGCGAAGGTGGAGATCTCTCTCTCTCTCTCTCTCTCTCTCTCTCTCTCTCTCTCTCTCTCTCGAATAAATCAAAACTTGCTTGTTGGGTAAAATATGCTTTTCGTTTACAATTAGTGTACGAATGTTACATTCAAATGTGAGAGGAAATGAACGCCACTGGTTATAACCCGATTTATGTGTACACATCAAATATTTATGTTATCTCTTTCGCGTCCGATGTTTGCACCACACAAAAGCACACAGACACCGACGCATTTTTTGAAAGTCTTGTTGTTTATCTGTGTGTGTGTGTGTATGTGTTGTGTCACTTGCCATTGTTTTTATTTACAAACAGATAAAATTACAAACATGAAATATGCACCAAGGGTATTTTCGATAACGATGACAACTCTAAATACTCTGGTCTCAATGTTTTTAAACGTCGCGTCGTCGTCGTCATCATCATCGCCACCATGACTGCCACTACTACCGGTCTATGCATTCCGATGGCATGCGTTTCATCGGTCCACATTTCATTCATGGGCTGACACAATGGCGTACATTTTATGATTGCCTACGGAATACGTTTATTATAATAAATTTGCTTGAATACACCCTTGAAGCGGCGGCAAATGTTTATGTTTTTGAGCGTGAGCAAAATCTTGTCATTGTTTTAGGACCTTTGGCATGAATTGTACAAGCATAACAAGTGCAAACAAACACAATACACATTCAGTCAGTAGCTTACTCACTCGCAGCAGCAGCAAAATATTGCAGAAACAATGGACTGGCAAGCGATTTTCTGAAGCAATAAATTTGCTACTTCAATTGCTGGTGCCAGGCGCGCATTGTGCGTGTGTTCATTACAGAAAAACAAATGGTCGTTCCGGTTCACGTTGAGAGACTATGTATCATAGCAAACGGACTTAGCACAAGTGATACTCGATCCCAAAATTCTGTACACGATGATGTGGCACGGCGTGCATCGTTCATTTCATTCCGTTTCGTTTTGTTTGTCTAGTTTACGATTCGATTAGCATTGATGCCAAGAAATGTTCGACTTCATTTTAATATTGTGTATTCACTTGGCATTTCACATCCATATTCCTCGCCGGCAATTATTCTATTCGAGAACTATATTAAAATGCCAAAGAACATAGCTGTGTTCATTTTTCATTTGCTGAAGCTATCACTTCATAATACAAGCCTATTAAATTCGGGTTTGAAATCGAAAATGCGCGTTAACAATGCCACTTGGAAGTTTTGGAATTTAATTTATTGCTTGCAATAACATCATTTTGAATAGTGTCGACGAGATATTTTGGCAATGCACACACACAAACTCTTCGCGCTGAACCGAACACCCACACACAATCTCAGATAAGTGGATCTGCAATTAATTCGAATAATTCACTATTTTGTGCGATAAATTAAATGAGCTCACATTTTCAATGGTTCTCTCATTCAATGCCATGCTTTTGTGTGTTTGGCTCAGAAAGCAGATATGGCTGAATTTTCAAACAGGTTATTATAATGCAATATGAATTGAATGGCATTATGAAAACATTCAGCCATGTGAAAGCATTATCATATTACATGTTTTGACTATACGGACGGATGGAACCTACGATCATTTCCTCTATGGATAGATATATGTGAAATAATAAACTATTTTGTAATTAAATTGTATTACCTCTGTGCATGAGGTAATTCCATGTGTGAATATTAATAATATTCCGATCAAATAAAGCGTTCAATTTTTTTGGTAAACAATTTTCATCCTTGAGGGCATATGAGATATCAATCAAATGGGAATCATTAAGGTTCATATTTATTAACTTCCGAAATATATTGCCTTCAATGAGAATGCAAATAGGATGGGCCATTTTTCATGCATTTAACACAAAGTGACAACAAATATTTAGCTTAAATTCGATTTTACAGCGACATTTACATTATACCCTGTCGCAAAATCGGTTTTTTTTTCTTTCATTTTCAGGCAAAATTGCATTTCTGAGCATAAAATGACGTTAAATAATAATTTTCTCTCTCTCTTTCACTCTCTTCACACGTCCATTTCCGGCGTAAATCATCTGGTTTACTGGAAAATTAATAAAAACGCAATATGATTCTTCATCTCTTTTTATGATTTCGGTAACCATATGAACGTTATTATGTATTTGAGTTCATTGATAAACACCATTTCACGGAATGAGTTTTCCAGTAAATATGGAAGAACAAATAAAAATTCAATTGATACGAATATGCATTAACTTTGAATTCAATTAAATGAAGCAGAGAGAGAAAGAAAAAAATTGGAACAAAAATTGTTCGTCCATTCGTCCATGAAATTTAATTGGGAATCACTTTTTGATCTGGCACATTATAATCAAATGAATCATTTCGAATGATTTGATTTAAAGCGCAATCAAGAGAAAGCAAGACAGTGTTGCGCTATTAATTGAATCAATGATGGGAACAGCAACGCGGTGCATATCAGTGCAATCAAAATGGTTGGATTTTATTGCACTCACACATTTCATGGTGTTTCAATTAGGGATTATATTATATTATGGTACAGTGTGTGCATAGGTTGTTGTGGAAAATCCATTTGATTGGGCCTTTTTTTCTTTCTCTCCCACGGGGAAACGAGATTTTGATGGTGAAGGTAAAGGTAAAGGGATACAATTGAGAAGCAAAAAATATTTTTTCAAGTAGAAATTTTATCAATTCAATCAGTGATTCATTTTCAGTTATGATGAATAATTAAGAGTCTTGCATAGTGTTCTTAATTAAATCGATAAAATTTCTACGTTCAATCGCAAAATACATCAGCTTAAAGCACTTTTATCCAACTGACGTATTTCACTTTGTTACAATTAAAAACATATTTTCAATTTGATAAAAAACTTTTCAGGAAGAAAAAAAATTAATGAAAAAAAATACTTGATAAAATGGCAGTCGTTTAAGCCACTTACGGGAATTGATGCCGGTTTATTAACAACCACAATGTCATCGTCCATATGCACGATTGTGATTGGCTGGCTAGTGACTGGTACTTCATGTCTGGAAAAAATACGAACACACACTTGTTTGGTCAAACAATTTTCTTTTTTTGCAAGTTTTTGTTTTTTTTTCTTCAAAATTGTCTTTTTCTAATGGGGTAATTGTGTAAAGTAACTTTGTGAAAAATGATATTCGAAAAAAAGTAACAAAAAATTCACAAAAGAAAAATATATAAATACAAGAAAAAAACCCAACAGAATGATAGAAAGAAAAGAAACGAAAGAGAATCAAACAACTTGAAAATGTTAGTAAGTATATATAGTGGTTAACAACAAAGTTGCATTAGAAATGGATTTAAAGCTGTAATTTAATTAATTCTAATCTCTGAATGATAACTATTCTATTTAATGTTATAATTCAATGTATTGTGGTTTTGAAACATTCTTCTTCGGATTAAAACGAATTGTAACACATACAACGACACGAGCTTGCACCATTTCCCGAGCACATATCATCAAGCGAGAGCATAACAATGGCATATGTACGAAAATTATCGCATTTCGTGTGGTTATATTAAGCGATAAAATATTTATGCGTTGGTGTCAAAGAGCAATGGACCGATTTGCCTCATTTTTAATTTATGACATCGATTTCAGATGAAATCATTTGAGCACTTCGGTTCGGCTATGGTGCAAACAGCACTTGGAATTCAATTGCATTCCCATTGAATCATCGCAATGGCATCTTTTATTCTGCGCTCCATTTATTTTCAACACATAATAATGGCGCCGATGATAATGATCGATCTCAGCAGCAGCTGTTACGTACAACTGTGCGTTTCTTTCTCTCTCTCTCCCATGGCTTTACCTTGTTACAAGCACATCCAAATCATAATCATATTATTATGTTCGCTTCATGTTCTCTAATGATTTTTTTCTTCGCTTTCATCCCATTACCAATTCATGATCATTTTCTTTTCTTTTTTGGTCTGACGAATCGGAATAAATGAGATATTTGTCGACAATGGAAAACACGCTTTGCCCACCAGACAATCAAATGATAAATAGCTGAAGTGAGCATTAAATAAATTTCATGCGTGCTTCAGAAGAAAAAAGAGAACTCGAAATCAAAGCCATGCAATTAATTCGAATCCATCTCAATTTCTAGACGACAATGCAACCAACTTTCTCTTATTTGATAACAAACACACTTGGCAATTGTGTAGAATGTGTGTATATATCCCATTGGAGTCGTCATCGCCGTTCGAAAAAGGACGTCGACGTTGGCAAAATACAAACGCAACACACAATAGCGCACATCGAAGTGAAATTCATTGAGTTGAATTGTGTGTGTGCGTGTGTGTGTGTGTGTGTGTGCGTGTGCGGTAGAGCATTCGTCAATCGACAACAACATTTTCTAAGCATTGGTTATGGATTTCATCAAATGTGCGTGCTTTTCATTTTATTGCTTATTCCGAAGGATGAACTGGGTGTGATAACAGCCATATATTCACAGCAATCATCATAAATTCAAGTGGGTATAGCAGGAGCAGCAGCAGCAGCAAGCAACCCGAAACGAATTGTCGATTCTCTACTCGAAATTATGTTCGTTCGGATGGCAGTGAATAAATCCAAAGATAACCGCACAGTTATGCTTTCGAATGGAAAACTCACTCCAATCCATTGGGAACTCTATAATCTTTTTTCGATATATGCAGCCGGTCATCAAGTTGAGATGTTTCTCTCTCTCTCTCTCTCTCTAGCATCTCAATATGACCGAATGGTCCGGAATGTTATATGATATTCTTACATCGAGGTCAATCGAAACAAAATACAGTTATCATAAATGCTGTGAAATTGTACACATTGTCAAAATATGATGACTAAACGGGCGGATATGATGAAATGGTTCATTTAAAGATTGAATAGAGAATTCATTTGGACTGCACAATAATCATCAACTCGTTCGATTTGTATATCATGAACTTTAATCGATGCGATTAAAAAATCATTTAAAATGCATGAGTTGAAATTTCAATTCATTTTCCCATTCGGTTATTATTTCTATGCATATGTTAGCTTTATGCATCGGACGAAAAATCAAGCGTTTTTTCGACGCAATTTGAATTATTGAATTACTATAATGAAAGTTAATCGGTCAACGGCTTCAATTCGATGCAACACTGCACTGCCAAACGAAAACTTTGTGGAAAAGTTTTTCATTTTGGAGAAAAGATTTTGCTGGTTCGACCATTTTTATTTTGTCGTAAAAATGGCAAAATCGCACCATCGAATCAAATGCTCGTCACGGCAATTTCAAACTCTTTTATAATGGTAGTTTGACTTTTATCGAAGGATTTCGTTTTTACAACGTGATTCCATTCCTTTTTCTCGTATCCACCGCAAAAGTAAACTCGACACAACAGTAACAGCAGCAAAACATATTTCTATTCGATTCGTTTATTTACATTTCAGCGCATGGAATTCATATTTATGATATATTGATTACAAAACTTGATGTTTGTATACACACAGTGTTGCACATTCTTTAGGATATGTGCTTCGGAACCCCGTGCAATGTTACAAAATCCATAAACAATTTTGCACGAACAATTGCAAAGCAAAACACATAACTTTGCATGTGCACAGTCGGGTGTTATTCAATCCAACCCCATGTCATTCCATCTCTCTCTCTCTTTCTACGCATACATAGACGCGTTCTTTTTCTCCACATTCAATGGCTGGCTTGGCATATCATGACTTTGCGACGCTGAAAGCGTCGAAAGAATTTCCACGATGATATATGGCAGTTAAAGTAGATTGGAATTTATTGCATAGCTGGCAGTGATGATTTCACTCGCAACTTGGCTGCAAGAAATCATCATATATTTTTCCATTTTCACAGGAAGTGACGAAGTCACACACACACACACACACAATCTGCATTCTTCCTCAAGAGAGTTTTACGGGAAAACTTGCAGATCACACGACGACGTTCTAAAATTCGACTTGAATTTTAATATTCACACAAAATCTCGACGATAAAACGCAGTCCGGTGATAGTAAAATGTCAAGTGAAAATCAAGAGTCGGTTGCGACTTCATCAACTAATTAAATTGTCTTTGTAAACCTTGAACGACTGTGCGATTTTGTGCAGCAACTTTGTTGCATTTGCTTTATTGCACCGCGCGATTTTTGGCACAGATTTTGCAAACAAGTATTAATTTTGCCATTAAATTCGCATAAAATATACGTACATTTTTGGCAGATTTATTAATTGCAAAATGGAAAATCAAGGCGATTTTTTTTACTCCCACCACCGAGTGATTTACATTGTGTTGTTTCCATTGGTTCGATAGTTCGAGTTTTTCCGTGGAAAAGAAAACAGGTCATAGCTCAAGAGATGTTGAAATTTAATGGCAAATGCTTGACCGATACAATAACCACGATGTCAAAAACAACCCAAAACAATACACATTTGATTCGAGCCAGAAGCATTTCGAAGCATTCATTATTGCAATACAAATCATCAGAAAAAAAAATCACTCAGCAAAGAGTCGCAATTATTTTCATTTGAAGTAAGAAGTGGCAAAAACAGTACTTGAGACATTTTTTTCTCCCTTTCTATTTTGTCGCACAAAGAAAGCAAAAAAAAAATATATCCATTTTCGTCCCGTTCATCCTCTCCAAGCGTCTGTACTGACTGCCATCAGTATAAGCTTTATTGCTACAAATTTTCCATCCGTTTCTGCTATTTTTCATTTTCTTCACTTCACTACATTTGTTTTGGATTCTTTTTTCCATTCTATTCATCTGGCAGCAAATTTTCATATTGTTGTGCTTACAGTTTTGTGGTGCATCGGTTGCCAAGTGAGAGAGAGAGACGAACTTGTTGATCGGCATGAAATATGAATGGGGTGTGTAATGTGTATGTGTGTTTGTTGGAGAAAAAAGTGTCTCAAAATCACCATCAATTCTTGAATTTTCTACTTTTTACATTTTCTGCATAATTCTTTATTCGTATTTCATCCCGCCCCAACCCGTCGCATAATCCTTCTCATCAGGTGAGAACTAGGGGATTCACGCCAAATTTTATTTGGCAAAATCTATTTGTATTTTTTAAATCATGTAAGGGATCCACTTCCAGAACCAGGAGCGGTTGTGAACAATCCTGAGGATCCACCAAAACCCACTTCCATAATTTTTGAAGCGATAATGACGTCAACAGATTAGACATGGTTCTGCTGACAGTCGGTTTATTGAACAAAATTGAGCAAAATTGAAATTATGCATACATATCTGTTTAATATGTTGAAACATAAACAAATTCATATTATTTGTTCATATTTTAAATATGGAAATTGGCGTGAGGCCCCTAGGGTGAGAAAATCGACGACGATCCGGTTCGAGTTGTTCTTTTGCTTTTGGATCGAAAGTTGACGGTGATTCAAATCAATGTTTGCTTTCGATTTGCATTGCCATCAGCCATAATACCTTTCACCATGCAAGTAGTTTTTCATCATTTTGAGCACACCTAAGCGTGTACACTGTACACACACCCTGGTGTACACATCCATCTTTTATATACTTATACACGTATCGAAGTGAAGCGGAAAAAAAACAGTGCCATGGCAAATCTATCGTTAAATAAAAATATGCTCCCTTGGAAATTATTTCCGATCCATTGAGAGAGGAGAGAAAAAAAAGAATCAACACCGAACGACATAATAGGCGAACGAAGAGGTGAAATGGGACATACACACATACATTAAATCAAATACAAAACGATGGATACAGGAGGGATAGGAGGTAAAAAAAGCTGAACCAAACTACATGCACTTCAATGTACCCTTGTTTCCGGTTCGATGTGCATTGTGCACAGTTCAAAAACTATAAATCAAAACATGAAAATTTCACTTTGTGTGAACATGGTCACACAATCTAGTGGTGCGTCCAGGTCTCTTTTTTTCCCCTGTATGGGTTGTATGTGCTGATAAAGCAAATCGACACACTGTTCGACGAGAAAGGGAATAACGGGCAAGAGAAAGGAAATTCATTGTT